GCTTAACGACAAATTTCAGATTATCAAAGAATACAAATTACAATTTCTCAACCATGCCTGCCTGAAACATTCCGATTTATTTACTTTTACCTTAGAGATCATTTTAACTCTTGGAAAACAGGCTTTCACTTTCTATTACAATCACAAATTGCCATTTTTGTCAACCAATCTAGTTTTCTCTCCATCTGCCAAACTCCTTTCTGAGTACTTGTCTCTTCTTTTTTTGCGAACAATTGCTCTTACCTCATGAGCATATAACAATCCATCTTTCTGAACATACTTTTGGCTACAATTTTGATAAAAAGCATGTGCATTTTCAGCTGCCTGTATTTGATCAAGGTTATTATAGGCCTGTACTCCAACTTGAGTATGAGCCAGACTACTTTTGATAAATTGCTTTAAATTTATCCAAAAGGTTAGCAAAATGGGTTTTTGGTTTTAGAGAAACCTTCCATGTCTCTAAAGAGATCATACAGTATAAGGAGTCAAAAAGGCTTTGGAATTTGTAGCTGAGAGCAGGTTCTTGGGAGATTTTCACTATTCTTATTAGTGTTGTTCTCTGAGAGATGTGAAAGAACAATGAAGGGATTGAAAGTTATGAGACAAGTTTTGCGAAAAGAGAAAAATATAGTCGATGGAGTAAATCTCTAATAGTAGATTGATGTGATTGCAGACAATAATTCAATTTTGTTAAAGTCAGAACATCTGGTTCATATTGCCTTGTCAATTGCTTCTGCATAATCGTATTTTAAGAGCTGAAATACAACCCCATTATGTGGATGAAGTAAGTGAGTAGTATGGGGAGTTAGGCAAAATAGTATAATCTTTTTCTCATTATAGTAGGTAATAAATTCTCAAGTGCAGTGAGATTTGTGACTGTCAAGTAGAAGTAGACGATAAGCTCCAGTCCATCTTAGTAAAGTATATTTTTCAAAATAATAGAGCAATAAATGATCCAATAAATCATTTGAATAGACAGTCTTAGAAACTGCTATTAAAATATTATTTTCAAGATCAGTTTTAGTAACTAAGTTCTCTAAAGGCAATGAACCTGGAAGAATTATCATTGGAGGTAAGATACTGTAACGATCTCCTCTTGGATAGTTAGTTTTTAGTGATGGGGAACGATACTCCTCTTCTTTTTCGCCTTACAATAGTACTAGGTCTAAGCCTATATCACCGACAGTACAAGCCCTTTGTCTTCTATCAGGAATATCAATCATAAGCTTTCTCTAACTCTATCTTGTACAGAGTTATTCTTATCGTAATAGTAATAAAGGTTGTGATAATGATAAAGAGCGTAAAGATTTTTTATATTCGTTAAAGTAATAAATAGGAAAAGTCCTTAGAATAAAGCGTGAAGAGCCTATCCTCCTTGGCCATACCAGTCTCCTTATATAATGCTCTTCCCGCCTCCAGTCATGTGACTTCAAGTAGTCACATGTGCAAAACCAAATCATAATAAATAAGTCATATGACCCCAATTGGTCACATGGATGAAAACCATGACCTCATACCGAGGTCATGTGCGAAACACAAATCATATGTACTAGGCATATCTGCAAAGTATTCTTGTAAGGCAGACTCGCCAGGCACATGTCCTATGATTAATAATCAAGTCATGTGTGAAACATAACAAATCATAATATAAACAACTCATATGACTAATATGGTTATATATATGAAACTGTAACGATCCCTCCTTGGATAGTTAGTTCTTGGCGACGGGGAATGATACTTCTCTTCTTCTTCTGTTTCTTTCCTTAGTCTTATGATAGCACTAGGCCTCTACCTTCGTTACCAATAGTACAAGACCTTTGTCTTCTATCGGGAACACCTATCTTAAGCTTTTTCTAACTCTTCTTCGTGAAGAACTTTCCTTGGCGTAATGATAACGTTGCAATAAAGATAAAGATCGTAAAGGTATTTTATATTTGTTAAAGTAATAAGTAGGAAAAGTACTTAGAACAAAGTGTGAAGAACCTATCCTCCTCGGCTACATCAACCTCCTTATATAGTGTTCTTCCTGCCTATAGTCATGTGACCAAAAGTGGTCACATGTGCAAAACCAAATCATAACAAACTAATCATGTGACCAAAGTAGTTACAAGTTCAAAACCTATGACCTCGTAGCGAGGTCATGTGCAAAATGTTAGGAATACCGAGATCCGATACCTAGGAACCACCCTAGGCAGGGTAACCTCTCCCGAAATCGAAATCTCAGGTCTCCAACACCCCCCTCCGGCCCCCTGACGGGGCCCGCGCGTCATCATACATATTGATCTAAGTTGCGTCCTGTGAGTATTATACCACAGAATCGAAGGTGTTAAAATAACACCGTATACGTCGCCGCCGTCCGCCCGACCGGATCCTGTTCGCAGGATATATAAGAGGGGACCTTCGGCTAGGTCTGGGAAGTATAACAGAGTGAATCCGTCAACTACCCAGAAAGTTACTAGGCTTCAAGAACAAGATATCTGTGGCATAGGCCGCAAGTAACGGGACGTTTTTGCGCAAAGAGATGATGATAAATAGTAAAGGATCTTAATGAAAGACCAATACATTCACATCCACCCTACGATAACCAGAAGAGTCTGGAACTCCTGAGAATACTACCATAGAACCCAATGGAGTTCGAGGAGTGTTACAACTAGGTTCCGGTACATATTGCAACCGTGGGGGTGACTCCCAAACCGGTGATAGTAACCAGAATCCTATTACCCACGGCAACCAAGGGTTACCGACCGAGGGATTATCTACCAATCCTATGGAAAGGCTTCCTGCGAGTAAGTAGGAAGTCCTCTAGAAAAGTTCTATTGGTTGGGTATGGAGTTATGAAGAGTTGAAGTTAGATGACCTAGAAAGTCGGTAACAACAACTATCTTCGCAGATGCAACCCGCAGACAAAACTGATCATTTCGTCAACAAGGGAGACGATTGGAGCCAACACAGTTCGACTTGAGAATTGGGCCATTTGTCTAAAAAGACTCTCACCATCGGATAATTACTATTGGAAACAGCATGATTTCCAAATAGTCATATAATAATTATCAAAGAGGGTGTGATGATTTTCAGGGTCTCCAGGTGTTCGCACCTTGGAAGAAAACCCGACGTTGCGAGTTATATTGGAAAAAAGTACATGGTTGTATGTTAGTTAGATGTAGTCCGCGAACACTCAGACGCGGAATATAAATATCGAAGTGCCTCCCAAGCTTTAGACATCATCAAGCAATGGAGAAGAGACCTTAACAATATAATATTGTTCTTACGATTTTACTTTACTTTACCTTACTTTACTTCGCTCTTAGTAGTCATAAACGAAACGCGTGAAGTCCGAGCCTTCCTAGACAATCTCCGTCTATAAAAATGAATCTCAATTGACCTAGACAACTCTGAAGTCTATCAGGTTGTCTCCGCCTAACACAAAAACTCATAAACAAATCATGACACAATAAATAAATCATATGACTCAATTGAGTCATATGCATGAAACTCATGACATCATAACAAGGTCATGTGCAAAACATAAATCATACTCGCAAGGAATCCTCATCAGGTGCACATCCCATGACTCATATTCGAGTCATGTAAGAAATATAACAAATCATAATATACTAAATCATATGACCCAAATTGGTCATATGTGCAAAACAATAACATATATATAACTCATAATCATGAGTCATGTGAAAACCTTTTCCATGCTAAGCCATATTTGTGACATTAGCTCCTCTCCCCCTAAACCTGAGTCCTATCAGACCTTATCACCAAGTTTAAATAGTTCCCGTCCTGCCGAACGCAGGGACCTCGGAAACCTACTGAGCCTGTTGTCAGCTTCCCGCCATGTTACCCCCACCATTTCCAAGTTGAGGTTTGCCATCTCGATCGTGCACCACTGGGCATCATTCAGCTGCCTCAACTCTACAATCATTTTATTGTTTGCCGAAATTGTGGTCTCGGCTTGGCCTTGTTGTTCTTGGAGTCCTCGGATTTGCAATTGCAGGGTTCTGGTATCTAGTTCTGTTTCCATAGATGAATTTTAGGCTCCCCCCTCCCTGGGCCTCATCCTCGAGGCCCTAGCCCTCTGCCATATCGTGGTATCCTTTCCTTCTCACTCTTTCTTTGTTCCATCCTTCTACGGGTAGTATCCTACCGTGATTTTCTTCATCCTGTGCATCTTGCACTTGTTATTGAAGTACTGTTTCCAGTGCTTTAGGGCATAGTCTGGGTGCAGACCATACTTTTTGTATTATCTCAGGAACTACCCCAAGCCTTCCTTGTCCTCTTAGTGTATGGCACATCCATCATCGTAGCATACCGTCCATCACATGGTGTTATGCTGTGCTTGTTTTTCTCTTTCCATGAGTTCTTCATTGGTTGGCCCCATGAATGAGTATTCGGGGCTGGTTTTTAGTGGTTTGGTAGGGTCTATCGCCCCAGCCCTCCTGTAGTTGCACTGGCACGGGAGCTTTTCCCTCGCCGTCATCTTGGTTGAATGTGATCGTCACCTGGGCCGGACTTGACTGGGTATCGCTGGTGGAAGGTTGAGATCGTATCTTGTACGTGTTCGAAGTTGTATACGAAGTATCAAGTTTTATCGTGTTCTGGTAAGTAATCTGTCCACTTGGCTTGGTATTGTAGATTTCTGTAGAAGAAGTGAGAATCAACTATCTCGTCGAGTTCGTATTCTGGTTGTCTGTTGAGTTCAAGCGGAGGAGGAGGAATAATTGTTTATAAGGAAAACTTATTGTCATTGTGTAATTCAAGGAGTGAGATGTGGAATGTGTTGTGTATTCACATTGAGGGTGGAAGGTCTTGTTTATAAGCTCGGCTGCCCACTCTTTCCTGTATCTTGAATGGCCCGATTTTCTTGTAGTCTAATTTCTTTGATGGTCGCGTTGTATGGATATTGTGAGGTATTAGCAATACCATATCTCCCAGTTGTATGTTTGGATCCAGTCTTTGGTGTTTATCGTATTGTTCTTTTTGCCATTGTTGTACTTGACTCATTTGGTATTGTAATGTCTCATGTAGTTTTCCCATGTCTGTCTTATCTGGTATTATACCATTAATCGTATGATATGTGACCTGACTTTGTAGAGGTCGTCTGTAATTCGCAAAGAAGGGTGTCGTGCTAATTGTTTCTTGTTTTCCATTGTTGTATGTGAATTCGGCCCTTGCCAATGGTTTGTACCAATCATCTTGTTGGTAATTAACATAGGCCCGTAACTATTGTTCGAGTATTGCATTTACCCATTCCATTTGTCCATCCGTTTATGGGTGGAATACTGTGCTCGGCCCGTTTTGTATCCCCATTTCTCCTATTACTTTTTTCCACAGACCTGATGTGAACAATGTTCCTTGGTCGGTAATGATATTCTTTGGGAGGCCGTGAAGTCGGAAGACTTCTAGAAAGAATGTTTGTATAAAATCCCTCGTGTCCATATCTTCTCTGACCGGAATGAAATGACTCATTTTAGTCAGATGATCCACCACGACCAGGATGCTATTGCATATCTCCAATAATGGCAAGTCCGCGATGAAATCCATAGTGATCGTTACATGTGATACTGCTGTACTTGACGAGGTGACGAAGACGTGTTTCG